ATAAACACGTCTTCAGCTCAAATGCTAATCCTCATAGAGCAGCAGAAAAAAAACTTAGCAGCAGGAAAACAGAAAATCTGACAACTGGTCAGAAAAAGGGTTCTGGGGAAATGCACTTCACTGCCCTCAGCAGAAAAAACATATTCTGAGAAGAGGTGATGATGCATTAGCAAAAGATGAGTCTAAATGTGAATGCACAGAGCACACTGCATTATGAACACAGTTCTGATGTGGAAGCATTTATGATTCCTACTTCTCAATTCATCCTTAAACTGAGTAAAAATACAGGCTGTTTGAGGATTATACACATTTATACAACTCATCACAGCTCTTAAATACACAAGACAAGACTGCTTGTGGTGCAAATTTAACCGCATATTTAAAACTGAGGTGAAAACTTAAAGAGACAGTTCATCTCAAAATCCAAAATACATGTTTTTCCTCTTACCTGTAGTGCTATCTATCAATCTAGATTTGTCCAGTGTTGGAGATATTAGCTGTAGAGATGTCTGCCTTCTCTCGCATATAAAGGAACTGGATGGTACTCAGCTTGTGGTGCTCAAAGCGCCAAAAAGGCACAACTGAAAAACTCATCAGCAATGTCTCTTTCCAGAAATCATGACCCAGCTACTTGAGATAATCCACAGACCTTGTTGTGAGCAGCTTCATGTAAGAATTATTTTCTTTCTCTTTAACTACACCCATACACCCATGGATGTGAGGCTCATGCTTGTGACTGCACAAGATGTAAACATTAAAGGAGATGTGCAGTATTTTGCACTTTGAGCCCCATTTCTGGGTTGTTTATGATTAAATAGAGTGGCTCCGATTTTTATGTCAGAACATGAACGAACACCACTGACCACTCGGTGAGTTTCATGGCTTTGAAAACGAACGTTTATGGTGGTTTTAGGACAGGTTCACATATGGCCATAGGCAGCACTGTTAAGCCAGGCAGGGGAAAGCCACATTTTCCGAAAATGAGCAATCGTCACTATTTTGGTCTTAGCCACTCTATTTCATCATTAACAACAGCTAGCTCAGTGGTGCTAGGTGAGCTAGCAATAGATGCACGTTTCCTTTTGTGCGGTATGATACGGTTAATGGATGTAGCTCAGTAGAAAGAAATTAGTTCCTACATGAAACTGCTCACAACAGAGTTAGGGCTGTGCGATATGCACAGATCTCATTAATAAATTACTCTTCTTGGCTTTTTAATTCGCAAAGCTTTTACGGCACTTACAGTAACAACAAGTTTATATAACTCCGGATTAAAATGTGCTATATCGTGATATGTATCGTTATCGGGATATGAAATGACCTATATCGTGATATGATATTTGGTCATATCGCCCAGCCCTATCTTGAGTAAGTGTCTTGACTTTCATTTAAGGGACGCCTAAAAGGCACCGTCTTCAACACGCTTCATTTGTTTACTTACATTGGTTGAGTACTTGCTTGAAGGTCCGGGTTGGTTTATAGATGAATGAATGAGTACGTGGGGTGAATGAGTGTGTGTGTGTGAGTGCGCTCTATCAACAAACAAAAAAGATACATATGGATGCATGCATCAAAAATAGCACTTATCAAGGTATTCTAGCATACAAAAAACATTGCTCAAGTATCAATGAATAAATAATATATAACGTGAGGCAAAAGGCTCTATACACACATCATTCATGAGCATTTGTAGCGGTTGAAAAACAATTTCTCTTCTCAGCGTTCACAGGTCTCACACACCTGTGCCTATTTCTATTAATGACAGATGTGTGACGATTACGTCATCGACTGAACTCAAAAATGCGACGCCTTGTAGTTGTTATACAAAAAACAAACAAACAAAATGGCTCCTACAATAAGCAAGTCATGATTTCTGGAAAGAGACACTGATGTTGAGTTTTTACAACGTATAGCACCACAAGCCATCTAGTTCCATTATATAAGAGAGAAAGTCGACATCTCTACAGCCGATATCTGCGGCAACTCACCCCAAAACAAGCTACATTGATAAACAGCACTACAGGTCAGAGGAAAAATATGTATTTTGAGATTGCCATGAACCGTCCCTTTAAAAACCATCAGCCACAGGAAAAGGGGGCAGAGTAATGGTCTTTTTCTTGGACAGGTTGCTCATTTATGTGACCACCACTGTGAAAGAAACCATTCCTCGCAGCTAAAACACAATGGGTTTCTGTGTAGCCTTTTAACACCCATCATCCAGGACACACAGTAAAAACAAGAGCAACAGTAAGCACTCAACTTGCTGAGTCGTTGTCTTCTAAGGCATTTATTGGAAATGATTTATACCCGAGCGTCCAGCCGCATGGCTGAAAAAACCCTTTGGGGAGTTCCTCACAATGCTAGCCAGACAAAAAGCAGGCAAAAACACTCTAACGATGTGAGACAGACACTGTTCAGATATCTTGCAGTGCACCAGGACTCGTGTCGACAACAAGGCCCTACCGTCTCCCACAGGTTTCCCCTCCCCCCCTTGCTTTGCTCCCAGTAGCAGACAGTTAGCAGTAGCACTGCACCTCTCAAGGACACCACCACCAGAGAGGATACAGAGAGGGAGGAGAGGAAGAAAGAAAGAGATTCAGATCAAGAGGAGAGGAGAGAGATAAAGATAGAAGGCAGATGGGAGACAAAGCAGAAAATCAGGTGGAGATACGTAAAAGGTGGAGGGGAAGAAAAGAAGGGATGAGATGTAAAGAGGGATAGTTAAAGACGCATGACAGATGATACAGAGTGCAGGTAGAGTGAGAGCCAATGAGTGAGTGATCAGGAAGAGAGAGAGGAAGGAGGCAGCCATGGTTGCTTACGTCACCTTCAGGATGACATTGGCAGGACACACAGGTCTGCTGCCTCATCAATTCTACTGCTGCCCAAGGGGACATCATATCACACACACACACACACACACACACACTCTCTCTCTCTCTCTCTCTCTTCTCTCTCTCTCTCTCTCTCTCTC